ATGTGATATTTCAGCTTTTCTTTTTTAATAAATCTGCAAAAATGTCAACAATTCTGTGTTTTTCTGTCAACATGGGGTGCTGTGTGTACATTAATGAGGAAAAAAAATTAACTTAAATGATTTTAGCAAATGGCTGCAATATAACAAAGAGTGAAAAATTTAAGGCGGTCTGAATACTTTCCGTACCCACTGTATATATAAATCAGTTAAGCAAAATTTACTTTTAAGGGCCGCTTATTTTAATGCAGTGTATGAGTCTTTTATGTGGAGGCATCTCAAGACTCTCAAAGAGCAGCGCTTCAAATTATTACTGATATCATAAAATTGGTTTAACATAAATGAGTCTTTTTTGTTGAGATGTGTAATTGTCTGGCTAGTAGGTAGTTTTGCATTGTTTTTATATTTACTGTTGTGTCATAGCACATATTTTTAGTTGTGTTTTATATGTAGCTAAGTGGAATAAAGTCACAATGAACCTACAGCTCTCATTCATTCATCAGGTTTATCTGTCAGGACCTGAGATAAAAACTGCTCATGTTACAGCCAGGTAGATTTTTCCTCCTCTATTGTATAGCGTCTCCTCCTTTATTTTTCTCTCATTCCCACATACACACTCGCACTGCTGTTTTCTCATTCTCTCATTCTGTAGGTAGCTGTACTTGTGATAGACTCCTCATAGACCCTGTGTGTGCGTATGTGTGTGTATTAGAGAACTGTGAGGTTTCTGCCTTTCTGTCTGGTTTTAATGTGCATTTAATGCCTAAGCCGTATACGGCTCAACATCTGACAGATTCCTAAAATCACAAGTAGTATTCTGTATTCTTTCAAGAGTCAGTGGAGCGAATGCACTAAGCAGTTGTGATATTCATAAGTGGTATTTCCATGCAAAAACCTGTTTCTTTTTCACTAACCACCTGCAGTCCAGTTTAACCAGGCATTAAGATAGCGGTGTGGGAATTTCAATTAAATCATTGTTCTTTTCAGCGTAAACATGCCAAATATTATGCAAATCAAGCTTATTTGCACTGCATTCACAGATGTAAGCACTGTTTACTTGCTGCATTTAATGTCATACTGAAAGTAGCCATTTAACAAAATTGTTTTAAAGAGATTTTTATATCCAATCAAGTTCTTTAACTTAAGCTAAATGTGTATGCTACAAATGAGCGTTTCTGAGTAAACTCCAGCCAGATGTGTCATATTTAACATTTCACATAAACATAATTTTCAACTTTGTATTTGCACACTACTGTTCAAAATTTTAGGTTGGTAAAATTTGATATATTTTTGACTGTCTTATGGCCACCAAGGCTGCGTTTATTTGATCAAAAGTACAGTAAAACAGTTCTACAATTTAAAAATAACTATTTTCTTTTTTGAAATATTTTAAAACGTAATTAATTCCTGTGATGGCAAAGCTGAATTTTCAACATCATAACTCCAGTTTTCAGTGTCACTTGATCTTTCAGAAATCATGACCCCAAAGAGTAGTGTATGTTTATTGTACTATTCAATTTGCATTTCATGTTTATTGCGTTGTATAATACAATGCAAATGTGGCAAAGTGACTAGATTCAATATATGCTGTTTTTGAACAGTGATCTTTTATATGAACATTTCTTTAGAGTATATGAGAAACACAAAACACATGCTGTTTCGGGTTAAACACTATAATTTAACAAAATAGCGTATGTAACACTTTACAGAACTATAAACAGAACTATCACCCATATTAATTACCAACAACAATTCTTTACAAACCATTCATTATTATTTACTAAAAGCAAGTTTTGAAGAATATATATATTTTTTTAAATCAATTAAGCAAGATATACTTAGCAAAATTAACCACTTTTTTTTCTTCTAATCTCTCCTGGTCTCTCTCTGTGTCTGTGTGGTGGAGGCTTTGAGTGTCTTTCTCTGAATGGCGTTGTAATGACTCATCATTGCTATGGATACTGCGATAACTGACCTCTCTTCTTGTCATAATTACCAGCCTTTTCATAAAGCTAAAATGTCAATTATGGCAACGACCAAGCCTCCTCCGAGCCCTCACTCTCATTTTCTGTCTTCTCACGCTTTCTTTTCTCTCCAATAAAGGAGCGTTTTCTCCCAAGAGGAATGTGTTCTTGTGCTAAATATGTATGTGGTAAATACTCGAGGAGATGAATTTCGAGAGACCCAAACCCACGTGAAGACATATATTTTTTTAAATCAATTAAGCAAGATATACTTAGCAAAATTAACCACTTTTTTTTCTTCTAATCTCTCCTGGTCTCTCTCTGTGTCTGTGTGGTGGAGGCTTTGAGTGTCTTTCTCTGAATGGCGTTGTAATGACTCATCATTGCTATGGATACTGCGATAACTGACCTCTCTTCTTGTCATAATTACCAGCCTTTTCATAAAGCTAAAATGTCAATTATGGCAACGACCAAGCCTCCTCCGAGCCCTCACTCTCATTTTCTGTCTTCTCACGCTTTCTTTTCTCTCCAATAAAGGATACATTCCAAGAGGAATGTGTTCTTGTGCTAAATATGTATGTGGTAAATACTCGAGGAGATGAATTTCGAGAGACCCAAACCCACGTGAAGACCCATTAACCCCCTCTGAATGTGATGAAATGATTGCATAATTGAGAATATGATAATTAATCTCTGTCAAAGCCGAGCAGTCATGAGATATGAAACATCACAGTGCCAGCCGGCATCAGCTTTACATTAGAGAGGCTTGCCTTCCCTGCACCTCAATTTATTGCAGATTGTTATTTTCAAATCAATTTGTCTGTGTTTTGGTGGATTTAAGCTGTTCAAGTATTCCATCCAACATTTTAATAATATGAATGAACAGGGGTGAAAAGTTTCCAAAAACTGATTCGGGAAAGTTCCAGATATATTATTTGCATATCAATTTTGGCTGAGAAATTACCCCTGAATGATAATTTTCATTTTCATTCTAAGTCATTATTGTCTTAGATGAGAAAATAAGTGAACAGACATTACAAAAGTAGCTTTAGAAAGAAATATTTTGATTCAGCATTGCATAAATAATAATAATAATAATTTCTAAACTAAAACCACCAGTAGGTGGCAGCAAGTCACTGTCTTAATGAGTGAGTCATTCAGTTATTCATTCAGCTGATTTGTTCAAATAACTCATGATTCATTCAGAAATGAAGCAAATGACTGCTTTTATGAATGGCTCACAGGATCACCTGCTCGCTTAATTCGTTTACAACTGTGGATTCATTCAGTAACAAAACACTGTTTTAATGAGTTATTTTTCCATAGTTAATTGCACCAAATTAACACAGTAAATTGACAACCCTAATATAAATATATTATACTATTTAAATGAATTATGATGTATTTATGATGTATTGATGTACTATGATTATTTAAAATGTATATATAAATTAAATCGCAAAATTCTCTCTCACATAGGACACAGAGATCCTGAACACAGCGATTCTGACTGGACGGCGCGTTGCCATCCCGGTCAAGGTTGTTACCGTGGAACAGGATGGAACGGTGAGAGAGGTTGATGACCCTGTTACCTGCATCTCCACGGATGAGGACGTTCTCAAGGTGAGAGCTCACCTGCTTTATCTCATGGTACCTTCTTCATCCTCTGCCCCCCGCTCTCCATCAGAAGTATAGACAGGTGTGGGGCCTTGCATTGTCGCTAGATTTCATCAAAAAGTTGAAGCAACAGGTTCTAGGGTGACTCAGGGAAGCCCAGAGTGGAGGCAGATGAGCAGACAAGAAAAACAGCGGGTGCCTGTGAAAGCCATTTTTTCCCCGCAAAGCATTTCTTTTTAGTGGGTTTGAGTTGCCAAGACATTTGGAAGTATTCACGCTCAGAAATGCACACACACACAAAAAATAAATTTCTAGACTGAATAATGGTCTGGAAGACAAACGCGAGATTAGGTGTCATATGAAATGACTGAGCTGATGCAAATTAAGACATGAAAGGTCGCAGAACCGAAGAAAGAATGATGGAACTATAAAGATGAAAAATTCTGATGTAACAGGAAGAAACTTCTTCAAATATAAACAAACCAACCACGTCAAACCTGCCTGATTATTTATTCAAGTATTGTTCAACTTGTGCAGTATTTACGCACAAATATGTTTACATGCACACTGGTCATTGTACTTCATTTGTGATGTATTTGATCTTCCTGCTTTTGTGTTCACCTTGTGTTCTAAGGTGGCATTTACATAAGATTAAGCATACAAAACAGCTAGATGGAGTGGGATTTTGTTTTTCTTTAGTTTTTTTTAAAGAAAATGTTGCTTTGTTGAGGAGTTTTTTGTTCAGACTGTCTGACAGCTGAAACTAATTACTTAGTGCATATACAGTGGGGCAAAAAAGTATTTAGTCAGCCACCAATTGTGCAAGTTCTCCCACTTAAAAAGATGAGAGAGGCCTGTAACTGCCTGATTATTTATTCAAGTATTGTTCAACTTGTGCAGTATTTACGCACAAATATGTTTACATGCACACTGGTCATTGTACTTCATTTGTGATGTATTTGATCTTCCTGCTTTTGTGTTCACCTTGTGTTCTAAGGTGGCATTTACATAAGATTAAGCATACAAAACAGCTAGATGGAGTGGGATTTTGTTTTTCTTTAGTTTTTTTAAAGAAAATGTTGCTTTGTTGAGGAGTTTTTTGTTCAGACTGTCTGACAGCTGAAACTAATTACTTAGTGCATATATACACACATATGCATGTACTGTATATATATATATATATATATATATATATATATATATATATATATATATATATATATATATGCGCGCACATGAAAATAAAAAAAATTAAAAAGAATGGCAGACATTTAGGCCAAAGCGGGCACAAATAATAATCTTTGTCATTATTTTATCTTTGTTATTAGAAAATAAGAACAATGATATACATTACAAATACACATAATATACAAAAAACCAACAGTGCTTTATTTTTCAGGTACAGTATTTAGCAGCAACATTCAAGAAATTGAATGAACAAATATTAAAATAAATCACTATATACATCAATTTTACTTTTTTTTAAAGCAACTGACTGATGATAAGTTCATCCTGAGCAGTGAGAGATTTTTCTCTGTGTTTTGTTGTTTTATTAACATTAAAAGAATAGTTCACCAAAAATGAAAATTCTGTCATCTGTCTTTCAATTCTATCATAGTGTTTAATTTTTACACTAAAAAAGTTATTTTTGAAGAATGTGGGTAACCAAGCAGTTGCTGGTCCACAGTGACTTCCATGGTATTTTGGACCAGCTACTGTTTGGTTACCCACATTCTTCAGAATATCTTCTTTTGTGTTCAGCACAAGAAAGAAATTAATACAGGTTTGGGACAAAACGTGAGTGAGTAAATAATGAGAGAAATGTAATTTTTTGGGTGAACTATCCCTTTAATGACAGTCGGCAGCATGTTTAGAAGCTACTGTCCCTTTAAGAGCTGCACGCGTTTCTCTCTCAACTGTTTACTTTCATTTTAGACATAACCAACTGTGTTTATATGTAAACCTTGTGTGTTTTTGACAGTATTATATGCAAAATCAGACGCGAAAGACAACTTAGTCCAATAATCAGGCACTTTTTGACAGGCTCTCTGTGAGTGCGCTTCATGAGTACGCACTCAGAAAAAGCACATGCAGAACAGCACGTGAATTAAATGTTTAATAGCTTTAAAGCAGATGCAAATAATGTAGTTTTGTGATTGTGCATAAGTGCAGTGTCCCGTGAGAGTAACTCTACCGCTGAGCTAACACTGAAATGCATGTGGCGTTGTACAGTATCTTGAGACGGAGGCGCCAGAACTGCAGCTGATAGAATGTGCGCTGTAGCACGATACAATGATATTTCTTCAAAAGCAGATCGTGGAGACATTTTAATCATCCACGATCAAAAATCGTCATATCGCACACCCCTAAACCAAGTACAATCAATCTCACACACACAAACAAGCACACCGAAATCACTTTACTCTATTAAGCGGCTGTGTTATGAACATGCAAAACTGTATCGCACGTGTGCTACAGTGGTAAATTTATTCAGCGCACAGACCAGTTTTTTTGTAGCACGTGCGACATATATGTGTACAGCCCTTTCATAGCATGATATAGTACTTAGCCTATCACACAAACAAGAGTCCTGTTTTTTATTTGTATTTTTTTGAATATTTGCACGATCGCAAATGTACAATAAACAACAACTTACAGAGTAACTTTCAGACACAAAATTCCGTTTTGCTCTCTCAGAAAGAAAATAGAACAAACAGCAGAAACGTTGCATCTCTGAACAATAGTGTTTTGTTCCTCAGCGTTACATGGACCAGCAAATGGTTCAATCAGGCTATAAGTACAGTCGTTTGCAAAGTTAAATGAATCAGATGTTTAAACAAATCGGTTGATTTAACTTACTCATTACGAGTCACTTGCTGCCACCTACTGGTGGTTGTATTTTCATATTTTAAAAAGTAGCTTATTTCATTTTTACAATCATTTAATATTTCTACATTTAAATGTTTTATTTAAACTTAACATTTATGCACAATCCGTCTATGAATTTTGTTGATAGTGATTCATTTGATTGTTAATAGCCAGCATGTCTATTTATTCGATTTAATTTATTGATTAAATAAGAACCTGGCATAAGAGGACACAGATATGACAATAACATTTATAATACTAACAAGCCAACATCTCTGGCTTTTTTTTTTTTTTTTTTGCTCACAAGTTTTTTCAGGGTTTTGATCTCTCAACTGAGAGAACACATCCTGTTTATTATATTATAATGAATATTTAATATTACATTTAAACTTTGACTATAGCCTAGACAT